GGATAATTAAAACAAAAAGCACTAGCAGCTTTGATTTCCGTTTTCATGAATGCATACAAGATAAATCTGTATTTTATAGTTAAAATTTGTACAAAAAGTCAAGCCCTGAAGTATTTTTCCCCCAAGAGAAAAGTTCTGATGTTAAAACTTTGTTAAAAAAAAAAAAAAAAAAGAGAGAGAGAGAGGTAGGCCGGGCACGGTGGCTCACACTTATAATCCTAGCACTCTGGGAGGCCGAGGCGGGCAGATTGCTCGAGGTCAGGAGTTAGAAACCAGCCTGAGCAAGAGCGAGACCCCATCTCTACTAAAAATACAAAGAAATTAATTGGACAACTAAAAATATATAGAAAAAATTAGCTGGGCATGGTGGTGCATGCCTGTAGTCCCAGCTACTCAGGAGGATGAGGCAGAAGGATTGCTTGAGCCCAGGAGGTGGAGGTTGCGGTGAGCTAGGCTGACGTAACAGCACTCTAGCCTGGGCAATAGAGTGAGACTATGTCTCAAAAAAACAAAAAAACAAAAAGAGAGGTAAAAGTCACCGAGAGAAATAGGAGAGGGAGTTAATGCCAGAAATGCTAACTTCATAGTGGCATAAATCCACATGTTCTATAATTGTTTCTAGTAATCCAGTTACTTGGCTGATCCAGACTGCAGGTCTCCTTTATGGCCAAAGAGAACATGAAGTTAACAGTGACACAGTCAGTGATCTGTGAGACATTCAGAAAGGACGTGAAAGCAAGACATGGCTGAGAAAAACAGAGTACTACTCTTGATAAAGTCAAAGAGTAGTATTATAGAGAGTAAAAACCTGATTAAGCAGAAAAACATTTAATATTTCAAAAGCCAAACTATTCTGGAATACAAGGCTTAAGCCAAGGAGAAGGCACCGAAGTTGAAGTGGTCAAGGAACAGTAAGATGGGCAAGACTAAAAGTAGAAAGCAATGCCACGAGCCAAATGTTAGAGTCCCACAAAACACAAGAGGGAATGACCAGGAGGATGTTAGCATCAAAAAACAAGACTAGGCCGGGCGCTGTGGCTCACGCCTGTAATCCTAGCTCTTGGGAGGCCGAGGCGGGCGGATTGCTCAAGGTCAGGAGTTCAAAACCAGCCTGAGCAAGAGCGAGACCCCGTCTCTACTATAAATAGAAAGAAATTAATTGGCCAACTGATATATATAGAAAAAATTAGCCGGGCATGGTGGCGCATGCCTGTAGTCCCAGCTACCCGGGAGGCTGAGGCAGAAGGATCACTGGAGCCCAGGAGTTTGAGGTTGCTGTGAGCTAGGCTGACGCCACGGCACTCACTCTAGCCTGGGCAACAAAGTGAGACTCTGTCTCAAAAAAAAAAAAAAAAAAAAACAAGACTAGAGGTGATAGAAGACACACAGCAAGACTTGGAGGAAGCACTGTAGACAAGGAGGGAGGCGTCGTGCTGTCTAAACAGCAATGGGGAGCAGGAAGAATGCCCAAGTGGCAACCTCAGAGCTCAGGGCATGGGCCCTTCTACAGGGACACTGGTAAGCCCAGCCCTGAAGGGGCCACCTGGACTAGCCTACGCTAGTCACCAGATGCTTCTGCTTCTCGCTTCACTACAGCCTTTTACCGCAGGAAGGTATCCTTTCTTGTTCCTCCCTCACTGCAAATTAAGAAATAATTTGATACCTCAGCAGTGGAAACACCTAATGATAAATAATTAAACGCTTACCCCTACTTTCCGTAAGAGATCCCCAACGATGTTTAGTGCTGATATTCTAGCAGAAGGAGTTAGTGGACTGGTACCAAAACCATTTGGTATAGCTAGAGAAAAATAAAAGGTGAGTGATTACAATTGTTGCTCCCTTTACATTTGAGTTTTGTTGATATTACAAAGTAGTGTACATTCAACACAGTATCAAAATACTGTTTCAAACTACAGATAGAGTGGAAATACCATAAACAGGTTTAACCCTGCTCCAATTGATGGAGATTTAGATTATCCAATTTTTCATCACTATAAATAATGCTACGAGGACATATGTCCTTAAACATCAATTGTTTCTAGAGATGAGATTCCTAAAAATAGAACTGCTAGGTTACAGTGTATACCCATTTTTTTCACCTTAATAGACACTGCCAAAATGCCCCCTAAAAAGGCTGTGCCAATATCAGCAATCTGTATGGTGGTATCTTCAATAATATTAGATATTAACTTTTCTTTGGGCAATTTGATAGTCACATTCCTTTAATTTTTATTTCCATAACAACCAGTTATTGGAATCTCCTCTTTTGAAAATCATGTTTATTCTTTGCGTTTTTTCCTACGGGGTTGCCAATTCCTTTTGTGAATGTGCAATGGCGCTATCCATTATAGATATTCACCCATTCTCTTACATAGGTCATATCTCTCAGTATTTATCTTTTAAATTTTGTTTTAAATTAAGTTTTGGTAGGAGAACTTTTGGCTTCCCCATCTCAATATCATAATGTTCCCCATATTTTCTCCTAGTATTTTTCTAAATTTTTTTTTTACATTTAGATCATTTAATTCACCTGGAATTTATAGTTATCTACTATATCAAGGTAGATATCTAAACTTTTTTCTTCCAAATGGATAGTCAACTTTCCTAATATCGTTTAGTGAAGACCCATCTTATCTACAATGACACTACAATCATAAACTGAATTCCCTAAATATATGAATATAGTTCATGTCCACTGAATTAGTCTATTCCACTAGAAGTAGTATGCTAGCTTAATTATTATAGGGTTAAAATATATTTTGGTATCTCAAAGGGCAAAGGCCCTTCTTCTAATTAGCCTATTTCAAACTTTTCTTGGCCATTTTTATACATTTACTGTTCTAGAATAACATTAATATCAACTTATCGATTTTAAAAATCCTATTTAGGGTTTTTATGAGAAGTTGAAATTTAGAGTAATTCAGGGAGAATGGATATTGTAACAAAGTCAAGTCTTCCCATTCAGAATCACAGTATTTACTCTGATATTTACTCAAATATTTCACACTCAGTACAAGTTTTCAGTCATGCACATTTATTTTTAAGAGATATGTGGCATGATGATTAAGAGCTCTGAGCTAAACGGCTGTATACCTATTCAATTAGGCCCTTTAGTAATTGTGTGACCTTGGTTAAGTTACCCATATGTAAAAGGGGGCAAAGAGCACTTACCTCATAAAGTTGTTATGAAGTTTAAATTAGTTAATGTACTTTTTAAATGTATAGCACACGGTAAATACTCAATAAAGATTAGCTATTATTTTTTATCTGTTTATTTTCTACAAAGTGCTAATCAGCAACTAAAATAATTTTGTGGGTTTGTTGTTTATTGTCCTTCTCTTCTAGAATATAATCTTATGGAAGGTAGAGACTGTGTCTTATTCACCACTATGCTTCCAGCATCTAGAATAATGCATAGCAAAAACAAGTGCTCAATGTGATATAAACTGCTGTACTTTTCTTGGCTGGGATTTCTGGATCTCATTTTTCCCTATTCTCCTCAAGTTTTGTATTTTAGGTATTATTAAATCTGTGCTTTTATAATAAGTTGTCTTAAATGCTTTTTTAAAATAGCCACTGTATAAATAAAATGCAATTAAAGACAGACCACTTCATAGAGATCAGCTCCTCAATCTTACCACTGATTTCTCTTGCCACCTGCTTCTCACAACTTCTGTGCTTTCTTGTCATGAAAAGGCAGCAATCAGTGCAGCTTTTGGGTTAGTCAGTCATGCTATCAGTTCCAGTCTAAAACCGTATTTGGACAAATATAACTGCCATAGAGGTTGACACATGTCATTCTGTGCCAGAGCAAGCTCTATGTCCTGTTGACTCCCCAAGTCCCTGAATGGAAACTCTAACAGGCTTCAAAAGAATGATGCCTTTGGGTGTCACCTCAACTGAGGTTTTTAACTATTCTGGTTAGTGCTCAACTAAAGAATTTTCAGAACTTCTCTGTGTAATTAGTAATATAAAGAAAAACTTTGTTAATTCTCAGGTATACTTGTGAAATCTTCAAATATACAAGTGGCTATTCTGAAAAACTGATGATGAGAGCTCCTGATAACTGCTATAATCTACGTATTGCTATAATCTATATGTGTATGTATACATATACACACACACACAATGTCATCAGCAGCAAACTTGGCACATACTACCGTAGTTAGTAACACCTTATGACCACACAGCATTTTCACATACTTTATCTCTTGTCACCTCATAACAACATGAAGACAAGTTGAATTAACTATCCAACAGCTATTGAGTCTTGAAATGTGGCTAATGTGACTAAGAAACTGAATTTTATATTTTATTCATTTAAATTAAAATAAATGTTAATAGTCACATGGGCTAGGGGCTATTATATTGAGCAGCAGAGATACAGAAAACTTACTCTACTAATTACGTACACAGCAAAGCTGCTCACAGCACTCAAAGATAAAACCCCATATTTTAAAATGCGGTGTAAGGACAGGCAACTTCGGTATGGGGTGGGGAAAAAGCATGGGGGAGTAGAAGTAGCTGAAATATGATCTGCAAGCTACAAAATCTAAACAAATCTGAATCAAGACCTTTAGGATTCCATTTTAAGGCAAAAGTATTCTCCATGTATTACTCATCAGTTATTCTGAATGTCACCTTTGAAAATGGCAGTTCCTGAAGCATGTAAAAGAATGGGCATGTCCATCCAAGCCAGTCTTACATGAGTCTGAACAGTACTTTGATGATTCTCTGCACACTCTGTACCTTAAGGCCTCTAGTCTCCCCATTATATGGTAAGTGGCCAAAGAAGTAAAACTGTATTTAAATATGATCTTAACACTTGTGTGTGACAAGGAGGTGTGCACAAAACACAGGATAGAAAAAAATCTCAAAATGCTAATGGTAGTTATCTTTGGTAAGGTAACAGATGATTTTTAATTTTCTTTTTTCTTTTCTGTGTTAAATTTTTCTATATGAACATGAATTATCGCTAGAAACAAAAAATAAACTTTCCTTAAAAACCTCTAACTTTTAAAAATCTCAAATTATTAAGTTGCTTTTATCTTAAATGCAGCCATCACCTCATTGTTTCCTACGTTATAAGTGGCCTAGGAAAATGATTTCTGCTGCTGCTTCACACAGTGCTAGCTTTAACCAACTTTTAAACTGAAATTACTCTTTAAACCCTAGCAACCCACTTCATCAACCAACCCTCCATCAACCAACCCTCCATCAACCACCTCCAAAAGAAATGACATTACATACCTTTCGGGGAAGGAAAACTGTTTTCTGTTCCTTTGCCAACAGGAGTAGCTGGCAAAGAGAGTGATGCTTGGACAGCAGAATCCATCTTTTCACAGTCTAGTGTTGGAGAACTAGGAGCCGACTTTCTGGTTACTTCCTGTTGTCTTTCCCGAACTGCTAGTTCTTGCCTTAAATCTGTAAAATGTTGCAAACAAAGGCAGTAATACTCATCAGAGGGAGCAAATACATCAAGTAAAGTCACATCTGAAATGTCATAAAGATAGTCTCTTCCTAAATCATTATTTTTCAAAAATTCATTTCCTGTTTAATAACTTTCATTTCTAGGAGAATAAAAATGACAACTGTCTAAATAATCTTTTAGAATTTAAAAATGTTACAACCTGGCCTGGCCTGCTGGCTCACACCTGTAATTCTAGTACTCTGGGAGGCCGAGGCGGGCAGATCACTAAAGGTCAGGAGTTCGAAACCAGCCTGAGCAAGAGCAAGACCCCATCTCTACTAAAAAATAGAAAGATATTAATTGGCCAACTAAAAATATATAGAAAAAATTAGCCAGGCATGGTGGCACATGCCTGTAGTCCCAGCTACTCGGGAGGCTGAGGCAATAGGATTGCTTGAGCCCAAGAGTTTGAGGTTGCTGTGAGCTAGGCTGATGCCACAGCACTCTAGCCTGGGAAAGAGTGTGAGACTCTGTCTCAAAAAAAAAAAAATGTTACAACCTAAGAGAACAGTTACCTATGACCATATATGCAAACAGAAATAGGGCAGAGTCCAAAGAAGAACTCATTGTGAACCTATATCACACAAACATAAATATCCTTTACCAACTCATTTGCTTTTATTTTGAAATGATGTAGTTTGAGAATTATTGCAAAATCAATGAAGTGCATTTTTGTAATTTTTAAGGTTGGTATTTTTTATCAATTATCACTATGAAATGCTTTGTTTTAGAAAAGAGATATTCAGAACAGTTTAAAATTTTTTTCTTGCTTTCAAATATTGAATTTTTAACCGAAAATTAATATTTTCTTTTCTAGTTATACAACTAATGGACAAAATATTTATTTATGTTAAAAAAGATACAAAGTTATTCCACTTCCAGGTATGTACCCAAAAGAATTCAAAACAGGATCTCAAAGAGGTATTTGCACATCCATGTTCATAGCATTATTCACAACTACCAAGAAATGGAGGCAACCTAAATGTCCACAGACGAATGGATAAAGCAAATAAAATATGTACAATGGAATATTATTCAGCCTTTAAAAAGGATTTTTTTTCCTTTTTTGGAGACAGAGTCTCACTCTTGCCGGGGCTAGAGTGCCGTGGCATCAGCCTAGCTCACAGCAACCTCAAACTCCTGGACTCAAGCCATCCTCCTGCCTCAGCCTCCCAAGTAGCTGGGACTATAGGCATATGCCACCATGCCTGGCTAATTTATATATATATATATATATTTTTTTTTTTAAAGCTAATTTCTTTCTATTTTCAGTAGAGACAGGGTCTCACTCTTGCTCAGGCTGGTCTCTAACTCTAAAAAGGAAATCTTATCACATGTTACACCTTGATAAACCTTGAGGACATTATGCTTAGTGTAAAAAGCTAGTCACAAATACTGTGTAATTCCAATTACATGAGGTATCTGAAGTAGTTAAACTCATAGACACAGAAAGCAGAAATGTGGCTGCCAAGGGATAAGGAGAGGGGAAGATAGGGAGTTGCTATTCAATGGCTACAGTTTCAGTTTTGCAAGATAAAAATGTTCTACAGATATGTTTGCACAACATGTGTATGTTTGCACAACAATGTGAATATGTGAATGTGTTGTGTATGTTTGCACAACAATGTGAATATACTGAACACTAATGAACAGTACACTTCGAAATGATTAAGATGGTAAATTTATATTGTGTTTTTTACCACAGTAATAAATAAATAAGACAAACTTTGAGAAGCTCTTAGGATAAATAATATATCACCTCCTCGGAAAAAAGGCATGAAAAACCAATCTTTAAAAGAGTCAATAAACATTAGACAAAAAGTTTCACAAGTAGTAATCAAAGAGCTACAAATTAAAAAACAAGATAGTAATTTTCAACTTTCAAATGGATTGATTTTTAAATCCTTTTAAAATGTAGTTTTACTAATACCAATGGTGGTACAGAGTATGGGGCATTCTCAGTCACTGCCAGAGCAGCAGAGGTGCCACTAAAAACATTCATCTCCCTTGCCACTTCTAAGAATCTCTCCTAAAGAAATCATCAGATATTCCTAAATATTATGTATGAGAATCCTAGGCACAACCCCATAGCAACAAAATTAACTAACAATAATAAAGAACTCATTAAATAAAACAACTATATGATAGATTATATAACATTTTTTAAAAAGTATGTTAAAAGATTTTCTTTTTTTTTTTTTTTTCTTTTTTAATGCATCCTGGTGTGCTATAAAAGATTTTCTAATGGCATGGATTATATTCACTATCTTAAGGAGTGAAAAAAAGAAGGAAAAGAAATATGTGTGTATCTCTGTGTCTGTGTATAGTGTGGTCTCAATTATATAAAGGAAAAAATATATAGATATGTTATGTATAGTCACAGGGAAGACCGGAAAGAAATTCACCAAACTGTTAGTGGGTTATCTTCACATAAAAGGATTAGCAGTGATTTTTTTTATTTTCTTCTTTATAATATACACATTCTATCATGCATAAGAAAAAGGGGGGAGGGAAAATTTAAAGGAAAGTAAATATTAACTATATGTATAATATGTATACAGCAAAATGAACACACAGTGTTATATGCATAACACAAAATTATTTAGATAGAAGCAATAAGGAAAAAACCCAAACAAACCAAGCAGTATAGGCAGTGGTACTGGTTAAGGCTTTGGAAACCAGACCAGGGTTTTAATCCCAGCTGATAAGCTATATATTACCTTGGACAAAACTCAAACTCTCTGTGCCTGAGTTTGCTCGTCTATAAAATGGAGATAATAATATCTACCTCTTAGCATTGATAATACAGGTATTACATAAATTAATAGATTAGAAGCACTTAGCACAGTACTTGAAAAAGTATATAAGACTGTACCTTCAAAAAAGTTGATCTTTAAGCTTCCTCTGGTTTGGGGACAGTAAGGTAAGGGATAATTATAGTTGTCCCTCAGTATACTCAGGGGATTGGTTCCAGGACCCTTGTGTATACCAAAATTGGTGCATACTCAAGTCCCGCAGTCAGCCCTGTGGAAGCCACATATATACGAAAAGTCGCCTTCCCACTCCCATACTCAGGTTTTGCATCTCCCATGAATATAATAATTTCAACCTAGCATTTAGTTGAAAAAAACATCAGAGTATAAGTGGACCTGCACAGTTCAAACCCATGTTCAAGGATCAACTGTATTAAGTTATAAATTTTACCTCTTGCTTCATCCTTTAACCTCTGTACAGAGACCAACAAAGATTCCTTTTCATCAAGTTCACTTTCTAAAAATGCATTTCGTTCAATGGCCTGATTTAGCCTTTGTTCAAAGTCTTCCAGTGAAACTATTGTTGCCCTAAAAAAAAAAAAAAAATCAGAATCCATGAATTAAGTAACATGTGCAAACAGCTAATATTAATACAAAAGGAAACTATCAGTTTATCTCATGACATTCACTGAGCTAGCCAGCCTGGTCCCGTTCAAAGAGAATGACCTCATCCCCTTCCTGACCTCTGGTGACAGTATCTCTACTATCACGGGGGCCATTCATTCAGTATATTCTCTTAAATTCCCATATAAATTCCATAATATTCCTTGAAGAAGGGCTGTTACACTATTTATAGCTCCAGACTTCAAACGCAATACCATCAAGTTTACACATTTTCAGGAAAAAAACTTTTTAATTGTTTTAGAGTATGTAAGAATTAACTAAAATTTTGTTTAAAACTTTAAGTTCCAGGTCACACTCCATTTACTTCCTGCCAACCCTTTTCTTCTTCCTGCCATTCTTCATTCAAACATTAACATGCACCTAGTCTGTGCCTCTCCCACTATGTGCTTTCTGCTATAGAAATAACATTTCCTAACCTCAAGTTAGAACTCTTAATGCCATGTCCAATTTTATCAATTCCTGTCAACTGTCAAAATGTCTCTCAAGTCCATTTCCTCTTCATCCTTCTGCCCCAATCTTCTGCTTTATTCTTCACCCATCACCTGGATTACTCCTAAATGATCTTCACATCTTCTCCCTACTTCCAATTCCTCAGTAGTATCTTCTCAAATCAAAATCTGATAGTATTCCTTGTTTTAAAAAAAATCTTTAAAAAGCTCACCACTGTCTACAGAGTGACTTTCAAACATAGTGTGCAAGGTTCTTCACAGTCTGGCCCCCACCCTCTTCCAGATTCATCTTGTTCAGCCACAATATCTTTATATACATTAAAGTGAAAAAATGGTATCTCAAGCACTTTCCTGCCTCTCTGCCTTTGCATCTGTCTCTTTACTTGGTTAATTTCTAGTCCTCGCAGATTCAACTCTAATATCTGCTGACTTCCCCAATTCTCCCAGGTGCTTTGGCTACTCCCCTCCCTAGAGGGGAGCAGCCTGTATACTCTTGTTACTAGAGCATTTATCACAGTGATTGACCATATCCATCACCCCCAAGGGCAGTGACTAGCTTAGCTCTGTATCCTTAACCCTAGCATCATGTCATTCACTTAAGAGTCCACTAGATAAATATTAAGGAAAAAATACCAGACAGTAATTGCAAAGTAAAAGAAATTAAGTTTGGAATGGTTAAGAAAACTAATTACAGATGCATAAAAGGTTAGCAACAGTAATAACAAGCCACTGTTAGGTTAGTCAGGAAAACTATAATGAAAGCAACATTTTCAGAAAATTCATCAATCAGTATTAAGACAAAAGAAAATGAAAAGGAATAAAAATATAAAGATACGTCAGCTAGAAGGTAACTGCAGAATCCAGATATAAGATGTAAGAACCTACAGGAAGTATGGAAGTATTGAGAACACAGAGGAAAGATGGAGGAAAGCATGTTTTAAAGAAAAACCAACAGGACCAACAATGGTACATGAGAAAAGAAGAAAAAGGGAAAAATTGAAGGAAGAAAGCTTGGAAGGGCATTATATGGTGAGATAAGGATTTTTGGTTCCTTTCAATCCAATGAGTTACAGGTGACATGAAATATCAAAAGGAAATGTTCTGGAATTAAGATCTAAGGTGACAAGTTGAGCCTAACGGTAAAGATTTTAATCACCAATTACCAACTTTGGTTATTCTAATAAAATACACATACTCACTTACCTTTTTGCTCGCTCCAGGTCATCATTGGCCTGCTCCAGCTCTCTCACATACTTATGCAACTGCTCCTTAATGGCCCGAGTCTGACTTAAATCATCTTCTAATACTGAGACCTGCTTGTAGCTCTGTGCATATTGATGTTCTAGTTTCTCCTGAAGGCATGGGTATAGGAAAGTATGTGTCACTGACATTTAGTCTTCTTCATTTATTTATTTATTTTTATTTTTGAGACAGAGTCTCACTCTGTTGCCCATGCTGGAGTGCAGTGATGTGATTGATCACAGCAGCCTAAACTCCTGGGCTCAAGCAATCCTCCCACCTCAGCCTCCCACAGTGCTGGGCTTACAGGCTTGAGCCACCACACCTACCCCATAGTCTTAATAAAAGATGTAACTCAAGTTAACGAAGGGAAAAAATCCAATTCATTCACAATCTGAGTCGATATTACCACTCCTCTCCTTCTTTACGATATTTAAAAAAAACAACTAAATGACTAAATGATACATTCATTCTAAGTGCCTAAAACCATGTAAAATTTAAATAGTCGACCATTCTCCTCTCAGAAAATCTCACACTCATCTCTGAAAAAAGATAAATTTTTCATTTTAATAAAACCCAGCACATTAGACACCAGCCGCTACTGCTGCAATTACCTTTAATGCCTCCACTTCATATTTCAGTCTTTGGTTATCAGCTTGCAAGTCTCTATTTCTTTGTTCAGCCTGTACTAACTGTGCCTCCAACTCTGCTTCTAATTCTCTGCTTCCTTCCTGGAATTCAACTAGCTCATCCCGAGCTTCCTGGAAGCTAATCAGAAACAAAATGGGAAAGATGAGTTATAGTAGGAACCACAAGGATCATCCTGCATATAACAAATCAATTCAATAATTTTTGCCTGAATGCTAAAGCTCTCGTAAAATATAGTAAATAAAAACAATCTGTTTTATACCTCTTACTCCATATATTCAAGGCTCAATGAAAATGAGTTATAAGTCCAAAAAAGACTCATAAGTCAGTGATTACAACATTTATGAAAAGTCTACATGGTTAAATATCATTAATTTCTTCCTCCATAGAACTCAGATGGGGGGGTAGGAAAGAATACATCTTTATTTTCACTAAAGTAACTTAAATTTGGCATTTCCTTCAACTACGTTCAATAAAAATCACAGATACTCTCACATCATGATAGAATTGTTTCAGATCTCTCTAAATATCATTTATTCTCATCACTGCCATAGTTACACATCCTCTATCTATATCCACTAGCATAACAGAATAACTGGCTTCAGTGATAACCATCAAAGAACAATAAAATGTTTGATAAGACTTAGTAAACTGTTAACTAAAGTAGGAAAATATATATTTTAGAAATATTCCATTTTTTAAAAATTTAATACAAGCTTCGGCGCTTAAAAGGTTATTATCCAAAAGTTTTCCCAACTAAGCAAAATAACTGAAATTTTATGTAACACTCCATACCCCTGAAGGTCTTTCCCCATCCCTCAAAGCTCTGCTGGCTCCAGACACTGACAATGCTCAAGTCTGTTATACAGCACCCTAGACAGTTTATCAGAATCTCCAAATGACCAAAAAGATGAGCAGCATCAGTGCACACTCAACAAGCCACAGATGACCCCATCTAGTGAAAACCATAAAAGGAGGCAAACGATCAGAAGAAATCATAAATGACACTGTTTGCCTACTATTTTAATAATTTGAACAATATAAAGATTTATGGCATTTTTATACAATTTAAATACAAGCAATGTTGTGACTATTTCTAGACTCGCAATCCTAAATCTGAAACTCTAAATTTAGCCTGTTTAAAAAAAACGCACAAGCTAGACATGGTGTATTCCAAATGCTCTCCCCTATTTTCAGTATGTTTTTCAATATTACCTTTGTTTATACTTTAAGGAGAGTTCCTTCCAATAAGCAGTTTCCTCCTTTAAACTTGAAAAATCTGGTATATCTTCACCATCCATGATCAAGAAAGCCTGTGAAATATTACAGACAAACTTACAAATAAAGAACATAGGAATCTAAGAAAAAGTATAAAATCTGGGACAACACTAAATCTGCAGCATTGTGGAAGGAGTTAAACATGAAAGATTGTGAGTGTTAATTATTTCATATAACTCGGTCACATAAATCACTTCACTACCCCACTCTCAGAAACCACCATGGATGAGGTAATGACAGGAGAGATCAACAAAGTCCTTTGGCACAAAGCCACGTGAGGCACTTTCAGTTGCAGCACTAGGTTCTGGGTGACTTTGCCCCAGAGAATCATGCTATACATAGTTCCAGCAGTTGGTTGGGTTTTGTTGTTGTTGTTGTTGTTTTGAGACAGAGTCTTGCTCTGTTGCCTGGGCTAGAGTGGCATGGTGTCAGCCTAGCTCACAGCAACCTCAGACTCCTGGGCTCAGGTGAGCCTCCTGCCTCAGCCTCCTGAATAGCTGGGACTACAGGCATGTGCCATTATGCCTGGCTAATTTTTTCTATATATTTTTAGTTGTCCAGCTAATTTCTTTCTATTTTTAGTAGAGATGGGGTCTCGCTCTTGCTCAGGCTAGTCTTGAACTCCTGACCTTGAGCGATCCTCCCACCTCGGCCTCCCAGAGTGCTAGGATTACAGGCGTGAGCCCAGCAGTTGATTTATAGCCAATTAGTCTTCTGGAAATCAGGAGGCAGAAGCAAGCATATTGTCAGAGATGCTGCTACTACATGCCTGTCCTTGTTGTACAATTGCTTCAAAACACCTACTTGGACCATTTTATGCCACGCAACCCTACTGGAACATCAGGCACCACATTCCCAATACTTTACTATTATGGCATTTCTAAAAACTTCCTGTTAATTATCTTTCAGGTCCACAGATTCCTCCAAAACTCCACTAATCTCTAACTTCAAATGATCTTTCCTCTGGGTTCTTCAAAGAAGGCACTCAGCATTCAGAAGGGGGAAAAGGGGTAGGTGCAGTGGCTCATCCCTATAATCCTGGCACTCTGAGGGAGGATTGCTTGAGGTCAGGAGTTTGAGACCAGCCTGAGCAAGAGTGAGACCCCGGCTCTACTAAAAACAGAAAAAAATTAGCCAGGTGTGGTGGTGTAAGCCTGTAATCCCAGCTACTGTGGAGGTTGAGGCAGGAGGATCATTTGAACCCAGGAGTCTGAGGTTGCTGTGAGCTAGGCTGACACCATGGCACTCTAGCCCAGGTAACAGAGCAAGACTCTGATTTTAAAAAAGGGGGGGGGAATCTATTTATTAATAGTTAACTATGCATTTGTACTGGCTGCCTAAAACTCCCAATTGATTGTTAAGGCAGATGGAATAGCAAAGCCCACTCTAGATTCATGCCTACCGTTTTCCTACCACGCCTTCCTAAGCATCCCACTTTAATTCCAGCAATGCTGTTCTAAATTGTCTTAACACATCGTGCTATTTCAGGTCTGCATGTTTTCTCTACCTTGGCTCTCCCTTCCTTGTTCCTATTTAAGCTTAAAACCTGTCATCTTTTCCAGAAACCTTTTCCTGCTCTCACCTGGACAGCGTTAAAATCTCCTGTGCTCTTGGTTACCTCTATACCCCACACATACTTTCAATGACATAATTACCACATAGCAATGCATTTGCTTACCCCTTTGTGTCCCCTATTAGGCTGTGTATTATTCTTATTTCTGTCCCAGCACAATGCCTACACAATAATAGATAATAATATCGACTGAATTAAACCATAATTGATTCAACCTAATCTACATTAGGCAGCAAGAACTCAAGACCAGCTTTAAAAGTAAACTAATAAAAAACCTGGAGATGTAGAGAACTGAACAGTTCATCTAGTACAATCCACTCATGAAGGTTTAACAAAAACTCAGTCACAGACAAGAACACATATAGAACTCCAACTTCAGGGTGGGTATACCAAAGACGTATATGAGAGTGCTTTTTATCAAAATAAACTAAGTGTATAAAGTTGCTTTTTAGTTTTAATTCCTTTGATGCCTACTGCAAATTTTTCTTTCTTAGGTCTTTCCTGACCACATCATCTATTATTACCTTGACATTTGTCAGGGAACCCCCAATTATCTTAAATTACCAATCAGCTTAAGAGTTCTTTGAAAGACACGGATGCTTGACATACTTTGCATCTCTCCACAGCACCAAGCATAACACCTTGATCAGAGAAAGTACTTACTACTTGCAAACATTTACTGACCACCTATGTGTCAGACATTGTTAAGCACTGGATAAATGTGTACTGACCAAATACACCCTCCTCTAATCTCATTACCCCTTCACTAGCACACTTTTGTCTGCACTATTCTACTCTTGGAAATATCTTTATACTATGACAGCACTTTAAAATGTAAACTCCACAGGGCTGAGTCCAGCTGAGGCTACTTTCTAGGGTTCCAATTCTGCCATTAACTTAAGTAAACTGCTTACTTAGAGCCTCGGTTTTTTCATCTAATGAGGGCTTGTACTATACTAGATGACTTACAATGTTTCTTCAAGCATGTATGCTGATTATAAATAATACTGATTTTATAATCCTACACCAACATCAAAGTTCCCAATTCTCACTCCACTTTCCCAGATGTAACAATAATCTTACTTGTAATTATAATTTAATTTGTAATAAGGTGTGAACAAAGATGAGGCTCATCCAGCAACAAGAGGTGTTTATATTTCAAAGAAGATCCAAGGCACTTAAAGGCATCATCATTTGGTATCAATAACTCCTCAGAGTCATTACCTAAGTCTCCTGGAGGGGAGGGATGTATTTCACATTAACAACCCAGGTGAAGATAGAATTACAAGACACATGAGAGAAGCATCTAGGGATAAGGCAACAATCCCTGCGTCACTTGAATGCCCTACACATAAGGTCTTTCCCAAAAATCCCCTAAAAACTGTTGTGATTATATTTGAAACTTATAAATCCATCCCTAAAGAAGCTGATTATAGGTTCACAGGTGCTGGTCCTCAAATTTGGATAAATGCTACTATTTGAACACTGGCAACTAGGTATCCACATGCAGCTCAAATATTCAGTTTCTGATACACGAGCCAATAAATCATGGTCTTGCAAAGTGTTATGAAGACCGGGGTAATAAAAGAAGCAAAGTTCTGCTGCTACTTACTCTACTTTTAAACAAGAAACATATGAAGAGAAATGAAAGATTAAGTCTTTCCAGGTAGTTCCTTGAGGGTAGGACCTGTGTCTTATTTATAAATCCCTACACATCACCAGAAACATGGAACACATAAGTTCAATAAATATTTGAAATGGCTTACAATCTTTCTTTCATTATTATCCCCTTTTTACTTTCAAAGTACCACTTTCTTTAATTAACATCTGAATTCCTATTTCAGGAATGGAGTAAGCAAAAAGATTTTAGGTAGTTTATTTCTATCTCACAATGCACCACCACATGTATTAAATCAAGATTATAGGCTGGGCATGAGGACTCACGCCTGTAATCCCAGCACTTTGGGGGGCTGAGGTGGAAGTAACACTTGAACCCAGGAGTTCAAGACCAGCTTGAGCAACATAGTGAGACCCTGTCTTTACAAAAAATAGAAAAATTAGCTAGGCATGGTAGCAGGCATCTGTAGTCCCAGCTACTTGGGAGGCTGAGGTAGGAAGATTGCTTGAACCCTGGAGTTTGAGGTTACAGTGAGCTATGATGATGCCACTGCCCTCTAGCCAGGGTGATAAAGCAAAATCCTGTCTCAAAAAAGAAAAAAATCATAAAATCTATCCTTCTCAGTTGTATAAAATTATTATCCTGATGCATGCCAACCCACATTCACTTATATAGGGTGAGTGCAGGCTCCATATCAAAGAATAGTAAGCTAATGGAACTTATTGGGGAGAATCTTGGAGATAACCACTGCATACTAGCTACCTCAAATAATCACCATCCAGCCCTTCATTCTTAAACGTAAATGGACAGGAACCACCAGACAAATGAGAAAACCAAGTGGTGTGATTAAGAAAATCCTAGGACCTACTGAACTGAGAGGAAACAGATAATTCAGAAAATAAGAGAAGTTTTTTTCATACAAGAACTCAAAGGGAGACCAGGCGAGGTGGCTCACGCCTGTAATCCTAGCACTCTGGGAGGCCAAGGTGGGTGGATCACTCAAGGTCAGGAGTTCGAAACCAGTCTGAGCGAGACCCCGTCTCTACTAAAAATAGAAAGAAATTAATTGGCCAACTAACATATATAGAAAAAATTAGCCGGGCATGGTGGCGGCTGCCTGTAGTCCCAGCTACTCGGGAGGCTGAGGCAGCAGGATTGCTTGAGCCCAGGAGTTTGAGGTTGCTGTGAGCTAGGCTGACACCACGGCACTCTCACTCTAGCCTGGGCAACAAAGTGAGACTATGTCAAAAAAAAGAAAGAAAAGAAAGAAAGAAAAGAAAGAAAAGAAAAGAGAAGAGAAGAGAAGAGAAGAGAAGAGAAGAGAAAAGAAAAGAAAAGAAAAGAAAAGAAAAGAAAGAAAAGAAAGAAAGAAAGAAAGAGAAAATATTTGCATTGTTATGCTTTAGATTGTCTTACCTATATGCCTTTCCAGAGCTGAGTGACCAGTGCCACTTTAGTACTGGACATTTTATTCATTGGTAGGACAATTTTTCTTTAAAGTTTTCAGAACTCTGTTACTATGCAGTATTTGATGATATTGCTGATTGTGTGGTCCATGAGCCAGCGTCCTTATGGAAGTTCCTAATAATGACTGTTAGATGCCTTTCTTGTCATCTAACATTTATGTGAATGTATTTGAATGTGGAGTCAATCCTTCTACAAACAGAGTTAGGACTGTTTTTATCTATAAATGTTATTTACATGCCCACTTTGAAACTTTTCTATGTGCGGTGTTTTTGACGCATTTGTTGCTTTAAAGAGCGCTCAGTTAAGTGGTAATCTCTGAGGAACAGCACTGTACGCCTTTGGTGTTCTGTGAAGTTTCCAGTTGTCTCTGACTTTTGGTTCTTCAACAAAAGATATTTAACACAACCACCAACTTTTCCATATCAGTGTCCCCTGGTAACTCAGGCTTTAAGTAGCATTTTGCATGAAATTTCTTGAGAATCTAGTTCTAGCTCTTTCATCTTCTTCATCCAACTATTTACTTTAATGTCAAATAATTCTAGCAAAATTATTTTATTTTTTTTTTTTACTTTACACATGCTTCTTTATTTTCTTGCTGGATTATAGGTGAACTGAATGTTGACCACTATTTTTTAATCAACAGGCTACTTTCACAACTTGCTTACTGACCCCTCAAACAGTATTACAGCCTGTGCCAGAAATATTTTACTAAAATAACCATCATCTTCTCCAGAACAAGTTAATAACATTTAACCAAGAATAAGTCATAGGAGTAGCACAGCAAAGTGGTTAATAGCCCAGATCCTTAAGCCAAAAACTGCTTGGCTTTGAAATCAGACTCCTTTACTCACTAATTGGGCGACCTTGGGCAAGTTACTTAACTGTGAGGTGCCCCATTTCCTCATCTGTAAAATGAGGATAAGCCTTAAAATGAGGCTATATTAAGATTAAATGAGTTAATATTTGTGAAGTACTTAGGACAGAGCCTGGCACATTGTAAACACAACATAAATGTTCATTAAATTATAAAAAAAAAATTGGTAGTTCAACAGTGGACCTCTAAAATATAATCACAACGTAAACAGGCTTCAGAATTTAAAACATACAAATGATTCCTTAAAATTAATCATTTCCAAAAGCTATATGCATATTCCAGTGATACCATTACTGAAAACATTTCTACAACTTCTCCTTTAGAATAGCCTTTAAAAAGTCAGATTAAGAACTAAGCAAAAAGTTCTCACTTATGGTCACACTTCATTTTTATTGCTTCCTAACTGGTACTATCCAGTTTTATTATTCTAATTTTATTCATCAGATTTGCTCTTTTTAAAAATCACATTCTTTACAAATAAAAATTTGCTACCACTGCAAATATTCAAAAGACCATTTCAGGCCAGTGTGGTGGCTCACGCCTGTAATCCTAGCACTCTGAGAAGTCGAGACAGGATTGCTTGAGCTCAGGAGTTTGAGGTTGCAGTGAGCTATGATGATACCACTGCACTCTAGCCCTGGCAACAGAGCCAGACTCTGTCTCAAAAAAAACCCAAAAAAACAAAAGACTGTTTCAGGGGCCATAAAGACAGTTTGTCCAGTTTGCTTCAAGTTACATTGGGAGGATGTATTCACTGTGTGTTATTTGAAACTATGTAACTGGAGGTAGTAAGGCTATAGAAAGTTAGCCAATATCAAAAAATACATGGATAAAAAAAATGCTCTCATGGTACATCTCAAATTTTCTGAAGCTAGAATAAAGACAGAATTATGTATTCTCTGCCCCCTCCAATCTTTCTTCAATACCATGTCCATATGAATGGAGCATGAGTCTGAAAAGTATGATTACTTTTACATCAAGCATCATCATACCGTATATGAATGACCTTCAGATATGCAGATATGAGTTAATTAACTCACTTGGGTTTAAAACAGAGTCAGTCCAAATGCTTTATTTGCAAGGAAACTAATCTTTGTACAATGGTAAGAAAATCTTTTATATGATATTGTTTCTTGTTAACAAAGTTGTAGAACAAACGAACATGGCTGGAAGAGTTCTTTCGGAACTCACTGTTAACATACATGCCTTTTTACTGTAATTCTACTTCTCTCAAAGGTGACATTTACATAATTTTTAACTCTTCCAAATCGATCATAAATATGGTCTCTCTTTTGGTCCTATCCAACTTCTTTTTCTACCTAATAGAGTGCTCAGAAACTTACATACGAAGTAATTTTAAGCTTTAGTAACCAAATTTATTTCAGCATAGTTTACAATAAAAATAAGTTTTACAGATGTCATGAAAGCAAGATCTAAGTTTTTACTGAGAGTTGTTATTTTAAGTGCTCTTTATCTAGCTTCAGTTTATTTAATTTAAAAAGTCAGAACAACAGCTTCAGAAGATTTAGCCATTTCTATCTGGATCAAGTCAATCCCTAAGCAAGACTGGTCAAAGGTACTCTTTGTGCCTTATGCACTCCGCTTTTAATGAACAATAATTGTAATAATAATTCAGAGGAAACACCTCACTCAGTTTCCCTTTACTTCTTTTCAGCCCATGACTTAATGCTGCATTTTGGGCCAACTTCATGATTTAGCAAAGCCATTACCCTATCTCCTAAGTACATTAAGAACAACACAATTTAGCAGACAAAATAATTAACCAGCAACAAACTTCAGAGTAAGATTTTTCTCATAACTGAGCAGCAGTTCTTATCTTAGGTCAGTTTGCTCAAAAATAATTGAATAAGTAATCTACTAGCTTCTGGTATATCTTTGGCAAGTCAAATTTTCTGTCTTGCTTTCTAGCTGAGAAGGGTATAAAAGTCCCAAGAAAAGAAACCAGAATTCTGAGCCTAGAAATGTAAAATATGATTGAAGCTAAGCCACTCACTAGTTGTTTGAACCGAAGTATAAATCACTTAATTACCCCTACCCCGGCTCAATTTCCCCATACAAATAGCGATAACAGAATCAGTCGCAACTACAGAGTGATGAGGTTCAAAAGAGATAGGAAGAGTGCTCTGAAACATGTCAAGGTGCTACATACATGGAATGTGATAATCAGTAGCGGAAGAACTCTCACTTCCTTTGCAAAACTTAAAGGGTCACCTCGTTGCTTACAGCAAAAATAAGAGGCGAGCACAAGCAAGCAACCTGAACCCGCTGGTGACACTTTCCTGAACTCCAAGAAGGATGATTAGCAGTTCGAGCCCGGGAGTCACGGGCATGCCAATCGGCGCCCAACGTGGGCTGCTCCTGCTCTCGCTCCCCACGAGACAGAGGCGCTGAGAGATCAAAATCCAACCTGGTTCCAAACAGCCCTCGCAGGCTGAAGGGATATGGGAGATGTTGGAGGGGGAGGGCTAGGCGCCCTGCTGCCACCTCCGACTGGGCCACTCCTTGCGACACCAGCGCCCCAGCCCACGGTGCCACGTCCCGGCCTCCGTCACCGCCATCCCTCACCCCACCCCGGGACGGGGCGCATCCTCCGGAGGCCGCCGGGCTCGTTCCCTTGCCGGCTCCCCAGTGGGCCACAGCTCGGACCAAGGCGAGGAGGGGACAGTTAGAGCGGTTGGAACAGTTGCCCCCGGACTGGGCGCCCCAGAACCCGACCCCAGCCCGGTCCGTCGGGGCCTCAGACACAGCCCCCGGGCCGGGCAGGCTCCCCAAGGGCAGGCCTCGGCAACGCCGGCCCGGCCGGGCCCCCTCGGGAGCGTCCCCGCACCGCAGGCTCACCTCCACTGTGTCAAAAGCGCATGTTCGCCGCAGCCCGACCGACGTCTCTGCTCCGCTGGCCTGGCCAGGCCCGCCCAGCCGCTTGCCTCTGCTCCCCTCCGCAGCCCTGAGCTCCACTCCGCGCACCTCCGCGCCCGGCTCCTCCCCGACACGTCAGGAGCTCCCTGGGTGTCCGAGGCCATTCTGTGACGCACGGGGGCGGGGTTCGGAGCATGCGCGGGAGCGCGCGGGCGTGCGGGGCGGGGCTGTGGCGGGGCTGGCATGACACCGGGCCGCCGGAACGCGGCGCGCTGACGTCAGGCTGCCGGCGTCCTTCTGCGCAGGCGCATCGGGACCCCACGGCGGGTGAGGTTTTGGCCTCTGGCAGTTATCGGTACCTGAAACTTTGCTGTTTGGGAAAGTGGTACCATGGTGTGTGAGGACATCTGCCAGTTTTTCGGCCACCAAGACCTTTCAAGTATCCATGTTTCGGTGTTCCCGTTTATAAAATAAATTTCGGCTTATATTCCGCCTCCAAGCCCTCCCCTTACCATCCAATAGAACACAGAGGTATTCTATTCCCTCCTCATCACCCTCGCAAAGCCCGATGTTGTTTTCACAGCGCTTCCACTAGCTGCAACTTTATACTTGTTCTTGTCTTCCTCCAGTAGAATTTTAAGTTCCATGGGAGCTAGAACCTCTTATGCCTTGTTTATCACAACAGATAGCTTGGTTCTAGGCAGAGTGGGTGCTCAAATATTTGATGAATAAATGAATGGATTCCTTGGTGGCACCAAGGGATTTTATATATGTCCATTTATGTTTTATATATCTGAGCATATATTCACACACAAATATATGTTAAATATATATAGATATTCCTCTAGGGGATTTGGAGAAGGAAGTAAGCTGGAGGAGGTACTAGCTCAAAAAGGAGAGAAATACGAAGGCAGTGGCAAGTTAAGGCAGTGGCAAGTTAAAAGAAGAGAGCACTTTTAAAAAATAGTTTAGGGGCCGGGCGTGGTGGCTCACGCCTGTAATCCTAGCACTCAGGAAGGCCGAGGCGGGAGGATCGCTCAAGGTGAGGAGTTGGAAACCAGCCTGAGCAAGAGCGAGACCCTGTCTCCACTAAAAATAGAAAGAAATTAATTGGACAACTAAAAATATATAGAAAAAATTAGCCAGGCATGGTGGGGCATGCTTGTAGTCCCAGCTACTCAGGAGGCTGAGGCAGTAGGATTGCTTGAGCCCAGGAGTTTGAGGTTGCTGTGAGCTAGACTGACGCCACAGCAATCTAGCCCAGGCAAGACAGTGAGGCTCTGTCTCAAAAAAAAAAAGAAAGAAAGAAAAGAAACTAGTTTAGGGTGGTTGCTGTGGCTCCTGCGGCTCCTGCCAGTAATCCGGGCACTTTGGGAGGCGGCTCCTGCCAGTAATCCGGGCACTCTGGGAGGCTGAGGAGGATCAGATTGCTTGAGGTCAGACATTCTGATCAGCCTGAGCAACATAGTAAGATCCTGTCTCTACAAAAAATAAATAATTTTTGTAAGTTCATGGGAAATGTATGTTTATTAAAAAAAGCATGCACAGATTTCAATTTTTTTTGCAACAAAATAAACTCCTATTAACTTGTTATAACATGTCTGAACAGGATCTAGTTTGAGGCACTAAGAAGGATAAGTCATCAGTTTGAAAAGAGCCCCTATCAGAGCAACATGAATTCCACTAACACTGAAGCAAGAACAAACATCAAATTCATGGTAAAGATTGGTTGGAAGAATGGTGAAACCATTAATGCTTTATAAAAAGTTTGTGGGGGCAATGCCCCAAAGAAATTAGTTTACAAATGGATAATTTGGTTTAAGAAGGGATAAGACAGCGTTAACAATTAAGCCCATAATGACAAACCATCCACATCAGTTTTCAAGGAGAAATTAGTCTTATTCCTGCCCTAATTGAAAAGGACTGACAATTAACAGCAGAAACAATAACCGACATCATAGACATCTCAAGTGGTTCCACTCACAAAATTCTGGCTGAAAAATTAAAGTTGAGAAAACTTTCTATGAAATGGGTGCCCAAAACTGTTGCACCCACATCAGCCGCAGACAAAAGCAGAAACTCCAGTTGAAATTTTAAGCAAGGGGGATCAAGATCCCGAAGCATTTCTTCAAAGAATTGTTAACAGGTGGTGAAACATGGCTTTACCCGTGTGATCATGAAGACAAAGCACATCAAGGACATGGCTACCAAGAGGTGGAAGTCCAGTCAAAACAAAAGTGGACTGGTCAAGAGCAAAGGTCATAGCAACAGTTTGGGGGGATGCCCAAGGTAATTTGCTTGTTCACTTCCTAGAGAGCCAAAGAATGATAGCATCTGCTTATTATGAGAGTGCTGTGAGAAAGCCAGCCAAAGCTCTAGCAGAAAAATGCCTGGGAAAACTTCACCAGAGAGTCCTTCTCCACCACGACAATGCTCCTGCTCATCCTCTCATCAAACAAGGGCAATTTTTCAAGAATTTTGATGAGAAATCATTAGGCATCCACCTTGCAGTACTGATTTGGCTCCTTCTGCTTTTTGTTTCCTAATCTTAAAAATATCTTTAGAGGACACCCATTTTTCTTCAGTAAAAATGTAAAAAAAAAAGACTGCATTAACACGGTTAAATTCCCAAGACCCTTAGTTCTTTAGAGATGGACTAAATGGCTGCTATCACTCCTTACAAAAGTGTCTGAACTTGAAGTGAAGCTTATTTATGAGAAATAAGTTGAATTTTTAAATTTTATCTTTAATCATTTTCCCAAGCACTTTTTTGAAGTCCCCTCATGTATATTGACAATTGGGCTAAATACTTGCTCTGCGTAATTTCACCCTCACAATGGCCCCATGAGATAGGGGGCCTGTTATTCTCATTTTTAAAATGAGGTTGACTTGTTACTAACAATGAAAATGTATAGAAAAAAATGCAATAAAGAATTTAAAAAGAAAAGTAAAATAAAATAAAAAAATAAAATAAATAAGGAAACAGGCTCAGCAAGATGAAGGTGCCTAAGATCACTCAACTAGAAAAAGGAGGACTCAAGACTCACAGCCACCCAATCTAGATTGTCTTAAGTCCAGAAACCACAGTATTTTTTTTTTTTTTTGTAGAGACAGAGTCTTGCTCTGTCACCCAGGCTGCAGTGCAATGGCATGATCATAGCTCACTGCAGCCTCCAGCTTCTGCACTTGAATGATCTTTCCACCTCAGCCTCCCAAGTAGCTGGGACTACAGGCACACACACCACCACATTTGGTTAATTTTTTTTTTTTTTTAGAGAACAGGGGTCTCACTATGTTGCCCAGACCGGCCTCAAACTTTTGACTTCAAGCAATCCTCTCGCCTCAGCCTCCCAAAGTTCAGGAATTACAGGCACAAGCCACCACACCTGGCCCAGAAACCACACTATGAACAACTACTATAATGCCCAAGAAGGGGAACTACTAATAATAATTACCATTTATGGGGCCAGAACACTGTGCTAAGTGCTTTATAAACATTATATCCCTCAGTCCTCACAAGCCTGTGAGGCTGTAATTATTACCTCCCATTTTACATATTGTAACCTGAGACCCAGGGGATCTGGGGTTTAAACCCAAGCAGGCCTTACGCCAAGGCCAGCAGCCTAGGATAGCTTGGAAGCTGGTTCAGGCTGTGGGGCTCTGCTTCCTGTGCTCCAGCTGATGAGATCACAGGCAGGGAGGGAACTGATGAAGGCTTTCCTGTGGACCTGCTGCCAAGACAGAACAGTCTCACCCCAAGAGGAAAAAAATAAAGGCTGCAGCTCTTGTCTCTGCCTCCTGCCTGAGGTGCTGGGAAACACACTGAGTCATCTAATGACAGGACAGGCCCCTCAGAAGATGTTGGCATCATCCTCCAGGCTGCTACCCATCCCACGCAGCCTGGACACAGAACTGGTGTTTGTCAGGCCTGGTGTGTTGGCCTCATCTTAATGAATGGGCTTTGCTTGGCAGCGTTCTCAGAGGCGTTGGAGGCCCTGCACTGATCTCCCTCCTTGTAGACTGAGCTTTCTCCATGGGAGAGAGGCCCCAGGGCTCGGCAGGGCAAGCAACAATCTGCTCCAGCCCTTCCAACCTCTGCTCCAACCCCTGCTTCTAATATGCCAAGTCAAGGGAAAATAAAATGGAAAGAAAGATGGAAGGCAGCCTCAAAAGGGAGCAGAAGTTATATTATAAAAATAGCCTTGCGGGCTGGGTGCGGTGGCTCACGCCTGTAATCCTAGCACTCTGGGAGGCCGAGGCAGGTGAATTGCTCAAGGTCAGGAGTTTGAAACCAGCCTGAGCAAGAGCGAGACCCCATCTCTACTACAAATAGAAAGAAAATTAATTGGTATAGAGAGACATAATATTAAGAAAAATTAGAGAGAGACATAGGTGAGAATGCCTGTAGTCCAGACTACATTGGAGAGAGCTGAGAGAGAGATAATACAGATATAGAGACAGAGAGATATATGGAGGTTGCCTGTGAGTTTAGCGCAGCACGCACAGCACTTCTAGATCCAGGGAAGAGAGATGAGATAGAAAGAACAAGAAGAGAAGAGAGAAGAAAGACAAGAAAGAGAAGAAAGGAAGAGAGAGAACGGAAGAGAGAAGAGGAAGGGAAGGAAAGAGAAGCGAAGAGGAAAGAGAAGAGAGGAGGAAGAAGAGGAGAAAGAAGGAAGAGAGAGAAGAGAGAGAGACAAGAGAAAGAGAGAAGAGAGAGAGGGAGAAGAGAAGAGAAAGAGGAGGGAGAGAAGAGAGGAGAAGAAGAAAGAGAGAGAAAGAAGAAAGAGAAAACCACAGAGACAGAAGAGAAAGAAAGCAAAAGAACTTAGACCATGAGACACTACAAAATATATAGAAAAAAATTAGCCGGCCGCCACAGTGGCTGCACTGTCTGTCGTCCGCTACCCGGAGGCTGAGGCACGAGGATGCTTCGAGCACAGGGAGTTTGAGGGTTGCTGTGAGCTAGGCTTAGGCCGACTGTACTCTAGCCCAGCACAACAGGCAAACTCTGGTCTCAACAAAAAAAAACAAAATACAGCCTTGCAAACGGTACGACAAAGGTGGGTGAGGGGCTGCCCACTCCTCTCGCCTTCCCGTCCTCTCGCGCCGCGCTCTCTGCTGCGCGAGCATCGGGATCTCTCCTCCCTCACAAAACCCGCGCACGCGCGCGCGC